TCTAAAGCAAGGAGAAGGAGATCTAAAGCAGGGAGAAGGAGATCTAAAGCAAGGAGAAGGAGATCTAAAAAGGAGAAGGAGAAAGAGAGAAGAAAAGCAAGGAGAAGGAGAAATAAAGCAGAGAGAAGGAGATCTAAAGCAAGGAGAAGGAGATCAAAGCAGGAGAAGGAGATCTAAAGCAAAGGAGAAGAAGGAGATCTAAAGCAGGAGAAGAGATCTAAAGCAGAAGAAAAGAGAGAAGGAAAGCAAGGGAGAAGGAGATAAAGCAGAGAAGGAGATTCAGGAGAAGGAGATCTAAAGCAAGGAAAAGAGAGAATAAAGCAGAGAGAAGGAGATCTAAAGAGGAGAAGGAGAAATAAAGAAGGAAAGAGAAATAAAGCAAGGAAAAGGAGAAATAAAGCAGGAGAGATCTAAAGCAAGAAGGAGATCTAAAAGCAAGGAGAAGGAGATCTAAAGCAAGGGAGAAGGAGATCTAAAGCAAGGAAAAGAGAAATAAAGCAGAGAAAGGAGATCTATAGTAAGGAGAAGGAGATATAAAGCAGGGAGAAGGAGATCTAAAGCAAGGAAAAGAGAAATAAAGCAGAGAGAAGGAGATTTATAGCAAGGAGAAGGAGATATAAAGCAGGAGAAGGAGACTCCAAAGCAAGGAAAAGAGAAATAAAGCAGAGAGAAGGAGATCTATAGCAAGGAGAAGGAGATATAAAGCAGGGAGAAGGAGATCTAAAGGAAGGAAAAGAGAAATAAAGCAGAGAGGAGAAGGAGAGAAGGAGAGATTAAGGGAGAAGGAGATCTAAAGAGAGAGAAGGAGAACTAAAGCAAGGAGAAGAGAAATAAAGCAGGGAGAAGGAGATCTAAAGCAAGGAGAAGGAGAAATAAAGCAGAGAAGGAGATCTAAAGAAGGAGATCAAGGAGAAGGAGAAATAAAGCAAGAGAAGGAGATCTAAAGCAGAGAGAAGGAGATCTAAAAGGAGGAGAAGGAGATCTAAAGCAGAGAGAAGGAGAAATAAAGCAAGGAGAAGGAGATCTAAAGCAGGAGAAGGAGATCTAAAGCAAGGAGAAGAGAAACAAAGCAGGGAGAAGGGAGATCTAAAGCAAGGAAAAGAGAAATAAAGCAGAGAGAAGGAGATCTAAAGCAAGGAGAAGGAGATCTAAAGGAGAAGGGAGAGAGGAAAAGAGAAATAAAGCAGAGAGAAGGAGACTAAAGCAGGAGAAGGAGATATAAAGCAGGGAAAAGAGAAAGGCAATCAAGCAAGGAAAAGAGAAACAAAGCAGAGAGAAGGGGAGATCTAAAGGAGAAGGAGATCAAAAGCAGGGAGAAGGAGATCTAAAAGCAAGGAAAAGAGAAATAAAGCAGGAGAAGGAGATCTAAAGCAAGGAGAAGAGATAAAGCAGGGAGAAGGAGATTTGTTGAAAGGAGAAGGAGAAATAAAGAAGGAGAAGGAGATCTAAAGCAAGAAATAAAGAGAAGGGAGATCTAAAGGAGAAAGGAGATCTAAAGCAAGAGAGAAGGAGATCTAAAGCAAGGAGAAGAGAAATAAAGCAGAGAGAAGGAGATCTAAAGCAAGGAGAAGGAGATATAAAGCAGGGAAGGAGAAAAGGAAAAAGAGATCTAGCAGAGAGAAGGAGATCTAAAGGAGAAGGAGATCTAAAGCAGGGAGAAGGAGAGATAAAGCAAGGAAAAGAGAAATAAAGCAGAGAGAAGGAGAAACAAAGCAAGGAGAAGGAGATCTAAAGCAGGAGAAGGGAGATCAAAGCAAGGAGAAGGAGATCTAAAGCAGAGAGAAGGAGATCTAAAGCAAGGAGAAGGAGATCTAAAGCAGGGAGAAGGAGATCTAAAGCAAGGAGAAGGAAATCTGAAAAGGGAGAAGGAGATCTAAAGCAAGAGAAGGAGATCTAAAGCAGGAGAAGGAGATCTAAAGCAAGGAAAAGAGAAATAAAGCAGAGAGAAGGAGATCTATAGCAAGGAGAAGGAGATCTAAAGCAGGGAGAAGGAGATCTAAAGCAAGGAAAAGGAGAAAATAAAGCAGGAGAAGGAGATCTAAAGCAGAGAGAAGGAGATTTATAGGGAGAAGGAGAAGGAGAAAAGAGAAAAGAGAGAAGGAGATCTAAAGCAAGGAGAAGGAGATCTAAAGCAAGGAAAGGAGATCTGCAAGCAAAAGAGAGAAGAGAGAAGGAGATCTAAAGCAAGGAAAAGAGAAATAAAGCAGAGAGAAGGAGATCTAAAGCAAGTAGAAGGAGATCTAAAGCAGGGAGAAGGAGATCAAAGCAAGGAAAAGAGAAATAAGAGAGAGAAGGAGATCTATAGCAAGGAGAAGGGAGACATAAAGCAGGGAGAAGGAGATCTAAAGCAAGGAAAAGAGAAATAAAGCAGAGAGAAGGAGATCTATAGCAAGGAGAAGGAGATATAAAGCAGAGAGAAGGAGATCTAAAGCAAGAGAAGAGATCTAAAGAAGGGAGAAGGAGATCTAAAGCAGGGAGAAGGAGATCTAAAGAGAAGGAGAAAAGAAAGGAGAAGGAGATAAAGCAGAGAGAAGGAGATCTAAAGCAGAGGAGAAGGAGATCTAAAGCAGGGAGAAGGAGATCTAAAGCAAGGAGAAGAGATCAAAGCAGGAGAAGGAGATCTAAAGCAAGGAGAAGGAGATCTAAAGCAAAGAGAAAGAGATCTAAAGCAAGGAAAAGAGAAATAAAGCAGAGAGAAGGAGATCTAAAGCAAGGAGAAGGAGATCTAAAGCAAAGGAGAAGGAGATCTAAAGCAGAGAGAAGGAGATCTAAAGCAAGGAGAAGGAGATCAAAGCAGGGAGAAGGAGGAGAAAGAGAACAAAAAGAGAGAAGGAGAAAGCAGGAGAAGAGATCTAAGCAGGGGAGAAGGAGATCTAAAGCAGGGAGAAGGAGATCTAAAAGGGAAAGAGAGAATAAAGCAGAGAGAAGGAGATCTAAAGCAAAGGAGAAGGAGATCTAAAGCAGGGAGAAGGAGATCAAAGCAAGAGAAAAGAGAAATAAAGCAAGGAGAAGGAGATCTAAAGCAAGGAGAAGGGAGATATAGGGAGAAGGAGATCTAAAGCAAAGAAAAAGAGAAAAGAAAGCAGAGAGAAGGAGACCTATAGCAAGGAGAAGGAGATCTAAAGAAGGGAGAAGGAGATCAAAGCAAGGAAAAGAGAAATAAGGAGAGAGAAGGAGATCTAAAGCAAGGAGAAGGAGATCAAAGCAGGGAGAAGGAGATCTAAAGCAAGGGGAAGAGAAAAGTAGAGAGAAGGAGATCTAAAGCAAGGGAGAAGGAGATATAAAGCAAGGAGAAGGAGATCTAAAGCAGGGAGAAGGAGATCTAAAGCAAGGAGAAGGAGAAATAAAGCAGGGAAAAGAGAAATAAAGCAGAGAGAAGGAGACTATAAAGCAAGGAGAAGGAGATATAAAGCAGGGAGAAGGAGAAGAGAAATAAAGAGAGAGAAGAGAAAAAGCAGGAGAAGGAGATCTAAAGCAGGGAGAAGGAGATCTAAAAGCAAGGAGAAGGAGATCTAAAGCAGAGAGAAGGAGATCTAAAGCAAGGAGAAGGAGATCTAAAGCAGAGAGAAGGAGATCTAAAGCAGCAAGGAGAAGGAGAAATAAAGCAGAGAGAAGGAGATCTAAAGCAAGGAGAAGGAAATAAAGCAGAGAGAAGGAGATCTAAAGGAGAAGGAGAAGGAGAGAAAGGAGATCAGGGGAGAAGGAGATTCAAAGCAAGGAAAAGAGAAAATAAGCAGAGAGAAGGAGAAATAGCAAGGAGAAGGAGATCTAAAGCAGGGAGAAGGAGATCTAAAGCAAGGAAAAGAGAAAAGAGAAAGCAGAGAGAAGGAGATCTATAAAGGAGAAGGAGACAAAAGCAGGGAGAAGGAGATCTAAAGCAAGGAAAAGAGAAATAAAGAGAGAGAAGAGATCTATAGCAAGGAGAAGGAGATCTAAAGCAGAGGAGAAGGAGATCTAAAGCAAGGAAAAGAGAAATAAAGCAGAGAGAAGGAGATCTATAGCAAGGAGAAGGAGAGATAAAGAAGGGAGAAGGAGATCTAAAGCAAGGAAAGGAGAAATAAAGAAGGAGAGAAGGAGATCTATAGCAAGGAGAAGGAGATCTAAAGCAGGAGAAGGAGAAATAAAGCAGAGAGAAGGAGATCTAATTTATCTAAAGCAAGAGAGAAGGAGATCCAAAGCAAGGAGAAAGGAGAAATAAAGCAGGGAGAAGGAGATCTAAAGCAAGGAGAGAAAAGCAGAGAGAAGGAGATCTAAAGCAGGAGAAGGAGAAATAAAGCAAGGAGAAGGAGAAATAAAGCAAAGAGAAGGAGATCTAAAAGCAAGGAGAAGGAGATCTCTAGCAGGAGGGAGAAGGGAGAAGGAGATCTAAAGCAGGGAGAAGGAGATCTAAAGCAAGGAGAAGAGAAATAAAGCAAGGAGAAGGAGATCTAAAGCAAGGAGAAAGAGAAATAAAGCAGGAGAAGGGAGACGGCTGCAAGGAGAAGGAGAAATAAAGCAGGGAGAAGGGAGATCTAAAGCAAGGAGAAGGAGATTTAAAGCAGGAGAAGGAGAAAAGGGAGAAGAACGGAAAGAGAAAAGAGAAGGAGACAAAGCAGAGAGAAGGAGATCCAAAGCAAGGAGAAGAGAAATAAAGCAGAGAGAAGGAGATCTAAAGCAGGGGAGAAGGAGATCTAAAGCAGGGAAGGAGACCCAAAGCAAGGAAAGGGAGAAATAAAGCAGAGAGAAGGAGACTATAGCAAGGAGAAGGAGATCTAAAGCAGGGAGAAGGAGATCTAAAGAAAGGAAAAGAGAAACAAAGCAGAGAGAAGGAGATCTAAGGGAGAGGAGAAGGAGATTCCAAAGCAAGGAAAAGGAGAGAGAAAGATCAAGAGAAGGAGATCTAAAAGCAAGGAGAAGGAGATCTAGGAAGAACAAGGAGAAGGAGATAAAGCAAGAGAAGGAGATCTAAAGAGAAGAAGAGAAAAAGCAAGGAGAAGGAGACTAAAGCAGGGAGAAGAGATCTAAAGCAAGGAGAAGGAGAAATAAAGAGAGAAGAGAAATAAAGCAAGGAAAGGAGAAATGAAAGCAGAGAGAAGGAGATCTAAAGCAAGGAGAAGGAGATCCAAAGCAGGGAGAAGGAGATCTAAAGCAAGAAGAAGGAGACAAAGCAGAGAGAAGGAGATCCAAGGGAGAAGGAGATCTAAAGCAGGGAGAAGGAGATCTAAAGCAAGGAGAAGGAGATCTAAAGCAAGGAGAAGGAGATAAAGCAGGAGAGAAGGAGATCTAAAGCAAGGAGAAGAGAAATAAGCAGGGAGAAGGGAGAGAAAGCAAGGAAAAGAGAAATAAAGCAGAGAGAAGGAGATCTTGAAGCAAGGAGAAGGAGAGAGGGGAAAAGAGAAACAAAGAAGGAGAAGGAGATCTAAAGCAAGGAGAAGAGATATAAAGCAGAGAGGAGATCTAAAAGCAAGGAAAAGAGAAATAAAGCAGAGAGAAGGAGAGAGATCATAGCAAGGAGAAGGAGATCTAAAGCAGGGAGAAGGAGATCTAAAGCAAGGAAAAAGAGAAATAAAGCAGAGAGAAGGAGATCTACAGCAAGGAGAAGGAGATTCTAAAGCAGGGAGAAGGAGACTCCAAAGCAAGGAAAGAGAAAAAGCAGAGAGAAGGAGAAATAAAGCAGAGAGAAGGAGATCTAAAGCAAGGAGAAGGAGATCCAAAGCAAGGAGAAGAGAAATAAAGCAGAGAGAAGGAGATCTAAAGCAAGAGAAGGAGATATAAAGCAAGGAGAAGGAGATCTAAAGCAGGAGAAGGAGATCAAAGCAAGGAGAAGGAGATCTAGAGCAAAAGGAGATTAGGGAGAAGGAGATCTAAAGCAAGGAGAAGGAAAGAAGGAAGATTTAAGAGAAGGAGAAGGAGATCTAAAGCAAGGAGAAGGAGATCTAAAGCAGGGAGAAGGGAGATCTAAAGCAGGAGAAGGAGATCTAAAGCAAGGGAGAAGGAGATCTAAAGCAAGGAAAAGGAGAAATAAAGCAGAGAGAAGAGATCTAAGGAGAAGGAGAAGGGAGAAAAGAGAAAAAGCAGGGGAGAAGGAGATCTAAAGCAAGGAAAATAAAGCAGAGAAGGAGATAAAGCAGAAGAAAAGGAGAAGGAGAAGAGAAATAAAGCAGAGAGAAGGAGATCTAAAGCAAAGGAGAAGGAGATAAAAGCAAGGGAAGATTAAAAGCAAGGAAAAGGAGAAACAAAAGCAGAGAGAAGGAGATCTAAAGGGAGAAGGAGATTAAAGCAGGGAGAAGGAGGGTTTAAGAAAGGAAAAGAGAAATAAAGCAGAGAGAAGGAGATCATAGGAAGAGAAGGAGATCTAAAGCAGGGAGAAGGAGATCGTAAAGCAAGGAAAAGAGAAATAAAGCAGAGAGAAGGAGATCTATGGCAAGGAGAGGAGAGATCTAAAGCAAGGAGAAGGAGATCTAAAGCAAGGAGAAAGGAGATCTTGTCAAGGAGAAGGAGATCTAAAGCAGAGAAGGAGATATAAAGCAAGGAAAAAGAGAAAAAAAGCAGAGAGAAGGAGATCTATAGCAAGGAGAAGGAGATCTAAAGCAGGGGAGAAGGAGATCTAAAGCAAGGAAAAGAGAAATAAAGCAGAGAAGGAGATTTATAGCAAGGAGAAGGAGATCTAAAGCAAGGAGAAGGAGATCTAAAGCAAGGAAAGGAGAAATAAAGCAGAGAGAAGGAGATCTAAAGCAAAGGAGAAGGGAGATCTAAAGAAGGAGATCTGAAAAGAGAAGAGAAATAAAGTGAGAGAAGGAGATCTATAGCAAGGAGAAGGAGATATAAAAGCAGGGAGAAGGAGATCTAAAGCAAGGAAAAGGAGAAATAAAGCAGAGAGAAGGAGATCTATAAAGCAAGGAGAAGGAGAAATCAAGCAGGGAGAAGGAGATCTTTTAGCAAGGAGAAGAGAAATCAAAGCAGGAGAAGAGATCTAAAGCCAAGGAGAAGGAGATTATAGGGAGAAGGAGACCCAAAGCAAGGAAAAGAAACCCAGCAGGGAGAAGGAGATCTAAAGCAAGGAGAAGGAGAAACAAAAGCAGAGAGAAGGAGATCTAAAGCAAGGGAGAAGGAAGATCTAAAGCAAGGAGAAGGAGATATAAAGCAGAGAGAAGGAGATCTAAAAAGGAGAAGGAGATCTAAAGCAAGGAGAAGGAGATATAAAGCAGGGAGAAGGAGATCTATAGCAAGGAGAAGGAGAACAAAGCAGAGAGAAGGAGATCTAAAAGCAAGGAAAAGAGATCTAAAGGAGATCAGGAGAAGGAGATCTAAAAGCAAGGAGAAGGAGATCCTAAAGCAAAAGAAGATCTAAAAGAAAAAGAGAAGATAAAAGCAAGGAGAAGGAGATCTATAGCAAGGAGAAGGAGATCTAAAGCAGAGAAGGAGATCTAAAGCAAGGAGAAGGAGATCTAAAGCAGGGGAGAAGGAGATCTAAAGCAAGGAAAAGGAGATCTCAAAAAGAGAAAACAGAAATAAAGCAGAGAAGGAGATCTATAGCAAGGAGAAGAGATCTAAAGCAGGGAGAAGGAGAAATAAAGCAAGGAAAGGAGATCTAAAGCAGAGAGAAGGAGATCTAAAGCAAGGAGAAGAGAAATAAAGCAGAGAGAAGGAGATAAAGCAAGGAGAAGGAGATCTAAAAGCAGGGAGAAGGAGATCTAAAGCAAGGAGAAGGAGATAAAAAGGGAAAAAAGAGGAATAAAGCAGAGAGAAGGAGAGATCTATAGCAAGGAGAAGGAGATCTAAAAAGCAGGGAGAAGGAGATCTAAAGAAAGAGAAAAGAGAATAAAGCAGAGAGAAGGAGATCCAAAGCAGAGAGAAGGAGATCTAAAGCAAGGGAGAAGGAGATCTAAAGCAAGGAAAAGAGAAGATAAAGCAGGAGAAGGAGATCTAAAGCAAGGAGGAGATCTAGATCTAAAGCAAGGAGAAGGAGATCAAAGCAAGGAGAAGGAGATTTAAAGAAAGGAGAAGGAGATCTAAAGGAGAAATATCAGGAGAAGGAGATCTAAAGCAAGAGAAAGGAAGATCTAAAGCAAAGAGAAGGAGATCTAAAGCAAGGGAGAAGGAGATCTAAAGCAAGGAAAAGAGAAATAAAGCAAGGAAAAGGAAATAAAGCAGAGAGAAGGAGATCTAAAGCAGGGAGAAGGAGATCTAAAGCAAGGAGAAGGAGATCTAAGCAAGGAGAAGGAGATCTAAAGCAAGGGAGAAGGAGAAATAAAAGCAGGGAGAAGGAGATCTAAAGCAAGGAGAAGAGAAATAAAGCAGAGAGAAGGAGATCTAAAGCAAGGAGAAGGAGATCTAAAGCAGAAGGGAAATATATATATAGAGAGAAGAGAATAAAGCAGGAGAAGGAGATTCCAAAGCAAGGAGAAGGAGATCTAAAGCAAGGAGAAGGAGATCTAAAGCAGGAGAAGGAGATCTAAAGCAAGGAGAAGGAGAAATAAAGCAGAGAGAAGGAGATCTAAAGCAAGGGAGAAGGAGATCTAAAAGCAGGAGAAGGAGATCTAAAGCAAGGAGAAGGAGAAATAAAGCAAGGAGAAGGAGATCTAAAGAGCAAGGAGAAGGAGATCTAAAGCAAGAAGAGAAAAGAGAAAGAAAGCAAGGAGAAGGAGATCTAAAGCAAGGAGAAGGAGATCTAAAGCAGGGAGAAGGAGATCTAAAGCAAGGAGAAGGAGATCTAAAGCAAAGAGAAGGAGATCTAAAGAGAAGGAAAAGAGAAAGAAAGAGAAAAGAGATCTAAAGCAAGGAGAAGGAGATCTAAAGCAGGAGAGAAGAGATCTAAAGCAAGGAGAAGGAGATCTAAAGCAGGGAGAAGGAGATCTAAAGCAAGGAAGGAGGAGAAGGAAAAGAGAAATAAAGGAGAGAAGGAGATCTAAAGCAAGGAGAAGAGAAATAAAGCAGAGAGAAGGAGATTTAAAGCAAGGAGGAGAAGGAGATCTAAAGCAGGGAGAAGGAGATCTAAAGCAAGGAAAAGAGAAACAAAGCAAGGAGAAGGAGATCAATGAAAGGAAAGGAGATCTAAGGAGAAGGAGATCTAAAGCAGAGAGAAGGAGATCTAAAGCAAGGAAAGGAGAGAAATAAAGCAGAGAGAAGGAGATCTATAGCAAGGAGAAGGAGATCTAAAAGCAGGGAGAAGGAGATCTAAAGCAAGGAAAAGAGAAATAAAGCAGAGAGAAGGAGATCTATAGCAAGGAGAAGGAGATCTAAAGCAGGAGAAGGAGATCCAAAGCAAGGAAAAGAAAATAAAAGCAGGAGAAGGGAGAAGGAGAAGATAGCAGAAGGGAGAAGGAGATCTAAAGCAAGGAGAAGGAAATCTAAAGCAGAAAGAAGGAGATCTAAAGCAAGGAGAAGGAGACTAAAAAGAAGGAGAAGGAGATCTAAAAGCAAGGAAAAGAGAAATAAAGCAGAGAGAAGGAGATCTAAAGCAGGGAGAAGGAGATCTAAAGCAAGGAGAAGGAGATCTAAAGCAAGGAAAAGAGAAATAAAGCAGAGAGAAGGAGATCTAAAGCAAGGAGAAGGAGATCAAAGCAGGGAGATCTATAGAAGGAGAGAAATCTAAAGCAAGGAGAAGAGAAATAAAGCAGGGAGAAGGAGATCTAAAGCAAGGAGAAGGAGATCTAAAGCAAGGAGGAGAAAGAAAAAGGAAAAGAGAAAGCAGAGAGAAGGAGATCAAAGCAAGGAGAAGGAGATCTAAAGCAGAGAGAAGGAGATCTAAAGCAGAGAGAAGGAGATCTAAAGCAGGGAGAAGGAGATCTAAAGCAGGGAGAAGGAGATCTAAAGCAAGGAAAAGAGAAATAAAGCAGAGAGAAGGAGATCTAAAGCAAGGAGAAGGAGGAGAGAAGGAGATGAAAGAAAGAGAAAAGGGGAAAGGAGATCTAAAGCAAGGAGAAGGAGAAATAAAGCAGAGAGAAGGAGATCTAAAGCAAGGAGAAGGAGATCTAAAGCAAGGAGAAAGAGAAATAAAGCAGAGAGAAAAAAGAGAAATAAAGCAGAGAGAAGGAGATCTAAAGCAAGGAGAAGGAGATCTAAAGCAGGAGAAGGAGATCCAAAGCAAGAGAGAAAAGAAATAAAGCAAGGAGAAGGAGATCTAAAGCAAGGAGAAAGGAGATCTAAAGCAGGAAGAAGGAGATCTAAAGCAAGGAGAAGGAGATCTAAAGCAAGGAGAAGGAGATCTAAAGCAAGGAAGAGAGAGAGAAGGAAAGCAAGAGAAGGAGAAGGAGATCAAAGATCAAGGAGAAAAGGAGAAATAAAGCAGAGAGAAGGAGATCTAAAGCAAGGAGAAGGAGAAATAAAGCAGGGAGAAGGAGATCCAAAGATCAAAGCAAGAAAAGAAATAAAGCAGAGAGAGAGGGAGAGATCTAAAGCAAGGAGAAGGAGATCTAAAGCAAGGAGAAGGAGATCTAAAGCAAGGAAAAGGAGAAATAAAAGCAGAGAGAAGGAGATCTAAAGAAAGGAGAAGGAGATCTAAAGCAGGGAAAGAGAAATCTAAAGCAGAGAGAAAAGAGAAACTAAAGCAAGGAGAAGGAGATCTAAAGCAGGGAGAAGGAGATCTAAAGCAAGGAGAAGGAGATCTAAAGCAGGGAGAAGGAGATCTAAAGCAAGTAGAAGGAGATCTAAAGCAGGGAGAAGGAGATCTAAAGCAAGGAAAAGAGAAATAAAGCAGAGAGAAGGAGATCTATAGCAAGGAGAAGGAGATCTAAAGCAGGGAGAAGGAGATCTAAAGCAAGGAAAAGAGAAATAAAGCAGAGAGAAGGAGATCTAAGAGAGAGAAGGAGATCTAAAGCAAGGAGAAGGAGATCTAAAGCAAGGAGAAGGAGATCTAAAGCAAGAGAAGGAGATCTAAAGCAAAGGAAAAGAGAAATAAAGAGAGAGAAGGAGATCTATTGCAAGGAGAAGGAGATTCTAGAGAAGGGAGAGATCAAGGAGAAGGAGATCTAAAGCAGGAGAAGGAGAAGAGGAGACAAAAGAGAAAGGAGATCTAAAGCAAGAAGAGAAGGGAGAGGAAGGAAAAAGAGAAATAAAGCAGAGAGAAGGAGATCTAAAGCAAGGAGAAGGAGATCTAAAGCAGGAGAAGGAGATCTAAAGCAAGGAGAAGGAGAAATAAAGCAAGGAGAAGGAGATCTAAAGCAAGGAGAAGGAGATCAAAGCAAGGAAAAGAGAAAAAAAGCAGAGAGAAGGAGATCTAAAGCAGAGAGAAGGAGATCTAAAGCAGGAGAAGGAGATCTAAAGCAAGGAGAAGGAGATCTAAAGCAGGGAGAAGGAGATCTAAAGCAAGGAGAAGGAGATCTAAAGGAGATCAAGGA